GGGCTTAGAGTTTAGGGTTCAGGGCTTCGGCTTTATGGTTTACATAGGGTTTGAGGGTAGTCTGGAGTCCTGGGCTTATGAGGCTGGCATAGGTTTTTGTTCTGTAGCTATCGTGGTTTGTAAAGGCCTTCCAAGGCCAAGTCAGGTCGCCAAACCTTCCCTTACCCTACACCATCAGCTTTCTAAACATCAAACCTGTACTTTGGAGGAGCAAGGGACGCACTATGGGTATTTAGGGTTCAGGGCTTAGGGTTTAAAGTTAAAGGTTGGATAGCACCCAAAACCCTAAACCCCTACATTTTTGGAATCCAATCTCCTGTCTCTCTGAAGCACCAACAACCAATCCTTAGACCAGAAGCAGCAGAGACTGGGGCTAAGACCTTCGAATGCTTTGAGTGATCCCCAAGCCCATGAATAGTGAAGGGAACACAGGCCAAGCTATGTTGCTAGGATACACTCGTCTTAGGAAAATGAGGGGGAGTGAATACAGGTACTGCAAAATTTTGTCTAAACTCCTAACGGGTGTTTGTATAGGAGGTTAGAACACAGGGGAGTATTTTAAGGCTTGTTAAGGGGGAAATTAGGAGTTAAGACTATAGCTCATATTTCCCTGCCGCAGACGGCCCATCATTACCCACATGGTTCAAGGTTTCGAGGGCTTCGGGGTAGGAAAAGGGCTGGGGCTTTACATGGGAGATCGGAGATTGTTCCCTGTGAGCCCGGCACCGTTCGCATCACGCTACCCATCTCCACTTATAAGATCCAAGTCATCCAAACCTTATATAGGCCTCCAGCACCTATCCGCACCCAACCCCTAAACCCTGAACCCTAAACTATGTGCTGGGTGAGATAGCAGCCTCCTGCCAGTGTCCGAAGATGCTATGGCCCAGTGGCATCGGCCTCAAAAGTCGTTGTTGTTGAGGGGGGGGGCTCAGGTGCAGGCCAGTGCGGCAATGAAGGGGCCAAAATCCACTAGAATAGTGATTGAGGAGTATGACCTAAAACACAAAAATGGAGCTGAAGTGGATGTTTTACCCGATGTTGTTGCCAATCATGCCGGCCCCTAGAGCTTCTAGCTAGGCAGTGGTGTTTTGAAAAGTTTGTATTTTATATAAGGGTATATACAAATGTGGAGAAGTGAATGGAAAAGGAAGCTCAAAACCTACCTATGGAAAGCACTCTTCGGGTGCAGACACAGAATGGATCCCAAGCCGCTGGGCGGTGAGCCCCCAGCGATGAAATGACGAGTGGAGACCCGAATTTCAGCAGCATTGCATCCCCGTAACTCAGACCCCTGATTAATAAACCCTCTCCGCTTAATAGGGATTGTAATAGGGATAAGACTAAGGCCAAGGCCCTTAAAACGAGGGGGTTTATGAATCATGGGTCTGCAGTAGGATTTGAGCTATAGTCTAAACTCCTTAAAGGGGGAATATATAGGGGATTATATAGTGGACTACTGCAGGGGTTATTAATGGGGATACTAGGAGTTTAGACAGTAGCTCATTTAGGATTTAGGATTTAGGGTTTAGGGTTTGGGATCTCGGGTTCAGGGCCTAGGGAGAATGGTACACTGTAGTCCCCCATGATGCAGGAACAAAAGTCTAATCCACCATGAAATGGTGACTGGGATCATGTAGGGGTTGTGTAGTATGTTTTCCTTTGCGGCGATACTATAGTCCCAATCAAGAGTATCATGTTTTAATTTTGTATACGAAGAGTGTAGTCGTACTTGCTTCAACGCCGAAACCCCATTATCCGGTGGACGTTCCCAAAAAATCCTTAAATCCTAATCCATAAACTCCATTTGAAGTATCAAAGATCCCTACCTTCTAACCCTGCATCTGAGCCCCCAAAGCATATGTTGATGTTGATCTACACTCCCAACTACTGTCGATGAGAAGGAAATCTTGCACCACTTGCGGTGCCCAAAGGTAGGGTGGCCTTGAACTTTGGATTTCCTCCATCAGTAGGTCCCAAACCCAAAACCTATCAAGCCTACATTGGCCCCTCAAATCCAAAACTCAACGACCTAGATCCTGAGCTCCAAACCCGCAAACTCAAATCCCCCTTACCCCAACATCCTTTTTTGGACGGTATTCAAAAGAATTCTGCCTAGTGTTGCTCAACCCTGAACGGCCCTGTAAAGCAAGATCTCCCAAACCCCGGCAACTAAACCCTACAGGCTGAAACCCAATCCCCCAAACTAAGGCTCCAAGTGCTAAATGGGGGTTTCCCAAATTTACGGGTACCATTTTGGGGGTCCCAATTGGGGTTTCCTCATTTTGGGAGATTACCAAAAATTCGTATACCTACTCAAAAGCTCCACAATCTTTGTTCTTTGCCAAGTCCCAAGGAATTAGTCAATTATTGGCGCTTGGCCCCTGAGGGTCAGGTTTCAAAGACCCTTAAGAAATAAACCCTCATCCCTACTACCCGGTTCAGGGTTTGGGGACCCTCATCCAAACTATCCCAAACCTAAACCCAAAACTATGTTCAGGTTGGAGGTTGAGACGGCGTTGGGCACGGTGGAGGCAATTGGAGTTTGGGTCTTTTGTGTAGTATGTTGAAGAGCGCAAGGCTTGATGCGAGCACAAATCCGTTCTGAGGGTTGTTGGACTCTCCAGGAACTTGCGGTGAACTAAACGCAAGGCATGCTTGGCATTTTGAATTCCCTAGTTAGGAACATCTCGCGTATCCAGGAACAGTCAGTTCAAGAGATTGCAGAAAGCTTGTCCCTAAGCTGCAAACTCTATGTCGCCTGCTTGAGGGTTTGGGGTCAGGGTACGGATATCCAAGTGCAACGTGCTTGCAAGTCTCAAAAAGTTGTACAACTACATTTGCAACAGGGTTATGGTTACCCTGAACCTATACAACTAATGTAGATTCCTTATTTAACCCTATACAACCCCCCCCCCTCCCCCCCCCGCCCTCCCCCCCCCAACAAAAAATATATATATATATAGCTACCTTAAAACCTCCAACTAGATATCAAGTAGATCCCCAGTCAGAACCCCAGAAGGAATCCCTCATCCTAACCCCTCATTAGCCCTATCCTGTAAGAAAGCTTTTGGTCTATAACTAAGATCACAAGAGGAGACAAACACCTTAACCCTAATCCCTGAACCCTGTTCCCTATACCCTAAACCCTAATCCCTAAACCCTACACCCTAAACCCTATAATCCCTAAACCCCAATCCCTAAACCCTAATCCCTAAATACAGAGCCTAAAATGGCTTTGAGCCCCAAAAAAGAGGCCAGCCAGCTTCGAAAAGAAACGGAGGCAGAGCATGGCTCCCTCATGTTATAACACTTTAGGTGGCTTAGGGTTTAGGGTTGAGGGCTTAGGGGGTTGGGGTTTGGGGCTCAGCAAAAGAACGGGTTCTTAGGGTCTAGGGCTGGTGTTCAGCCCTGGGTCAGGGTTCAGTGTTGAGGGATTTAAGGTTTAGTCAGGGGTTTAGGGTTAAGGGAGTAGGCTTGCCGGGCAGGGGCTAAGGGCTTTGGGCTTGCGGGCTTAAGTTGCAGGGGGTGGGTGGACTGCATATGTGGGCATTATGAGAGCGCTGCTACGTTCTTAAGGGATAGAGTCCCCCTTGAGTAGATAGAACCTGGGGTATATGGGGATCTTACTATAATATACCCAAAGCCATATTCCAACCACTTAATTTGGACTGTAGGTATAACATGCCATAGGGGCTGCTGTGTACCTGGAAGTTGCTAGTTTGAGCAAAGCCCGTGACCGCTTCCTGGGAACCTGTGCTGATTAGTGGTTTCAGGGTTTCTAGGTACCCGGACATCAAAGTGGGTGGAGGGCTAAGGGTTTAGGGTTTAGGGCTTGGTGATTCAAAGCCGTTCCAGAGTTTTGCCATCAAAGCTTGTGCTAAGTGTCCGTCCGTCCGTCCGTCCGTCCGTCCGTCCGTCCGTCCGTACGTGCGTGCGTTCGTTCGTTCGTTCGTTCGTTCGTTCGTTCGTTCGTTCGTTTGTCCTTGCAGGGCGTGCGCAGGATAGCCCCAGTAGATGGGCTGCTTGGAGGTTCTGGGCAAATGTAACTTAGGAGGACGCCCCACACTGTAATAGTGACTGTATAGGGTTTAGGTTTTAGGGTTCAGGGGCGGGTGGTCTTTTTCATGGCTGAGCCAAGTAAGCTTCTGTTCTGCTTAGATACTTTACGGTTTAGGGTTTAGGGCTTCGGGTTTGCACAAAGTACAGCAAGCAAGATACAACCTAATTCCATACTCAGGACTATAGCAGTATCCCAAAACAACACAACCGACCGAATTCTTTACCACGCTTTCCCAGAGGCAGTGGTCAGTGTGCTCTAGCAAGAACTTGTGTTGCACTTTGTGGACGTTCTGGGCCATGATAACCTACATCTTACTCTAGTTATATCCAACTTCTGACATTATTCGGGTACTTCCGGGGCTTTGTCTGCTGTGGTTTGAGGACTAGGCTTTAGAAGGTTTAACAAGTTGGTAGTAGGGATGATTCGCGAAGCTGGCCTGGTGCTTTCGTGACGCTCATTTCAACAGATTTGCGCGCTGCATTCCTAGTCAGGTTCACTGGCTTCATGGATATGTTTCAGCGGCAGGTTCTAACGGAGGTTTCTTGGCCCCCCAAACTTGGGAGGCTCTGACTTCTACACCTATACCTTACGGCCTAAATCAGCTGAAATTGTAATACCAACAGTACTAGCACATGAAAGTCTACCTGCTCCCCGAAGTATACAATGATATGTTTTCGCTCTTTCAAACGAATCCTGGGCCATGATTTTACCGACCTCTGGGGCCCAGTTGCAGACCTTGAACCCTAAACCCTTGTCGAAATGAAAGGCTGAGAAATGTCCACTGGCTTACAAAAAAATCTTACTTTGGGCCCTGAAATCCAAAAACAGTATCTATCTTGGGTTTTTGGGATCCCTGGGGTAAGAATGAAACAAACCCTAAACCCCACATCTCTAAACCCCAGACCCTAAATCTTTTGGATTGTGCAACCGGCCGCAGGCAGAACTATGCAGGGAGGATTTCCTCCAGCAGGCTACGTGTCACTACACTGGGGTTGCAGAAGGGCCAGGCTTTACGGTTAAGGGTTCGTGTAGCATACTCTATGTATCTGTTTTGGGTTTAGGATGCAGGGTTGAAGGTTTTGGGTTTTGGGTTTAAGGTTTCGGGCTTACGGCTCAGGTAGGTTGTCAACATGATGGTCCCTTGGTGGGTTCCCATTTTTTGTGCGGCCCCTACCATGTGAGGTTTTGAGAAGGGACCATAATGTTCACAAGCTGTATAGTGTGATTGGGCGAACCCCAAAACCTAAACCAGATAAGCCTCAATAGTCGTTTCCATTATCTTTTCCATTATCCTCATATAATCCCTATATAAACCCTATATAACTCCTATATAACCCCTATATAACCCCTATATCCCTTTTGAAGGGACCTAAACTCTAAAAACCCTAACAGAATTCGGGATTTGGTCCCTGCTTTGGTAGCAGGATTTCCGGCTCTTGAGCAGTGTTACTTGGAGCGTAAACCCTTGGAGGGTCAGGGGGACTTAGTAATAATGGAAAAGAAAATGGAAACGATTATATATATAGGGTTTAGGGTTCAGGGACTTAGTAACTAGGTTAAAATAATGGGGGTAATTGGGGTTACTATATGGGTTGTAGGGGTTATTAACCTACTTACTACGTCCCCCTGACCCTCCAATTAGAACATGCCAGATTTTGCATGCTGTGATTAGTCTGTCTGCGTGGGGTTGCGGATGTCTGAGGCTGTGGTAGTAGGCAAGTTGAACATCCCGCCGCAGAAAGGACTTTGTGGCATTGCGTGCATTGGTGCTTGCACTTTTGCTGTCATCATGAGGCATCCTTTTTCTTTTCGCTTTGGCTGACCTGCATGGCTTTAGGGCCACGAGCCCTATGACTAGTTGTGTTTTATTCACGGGGCCAACCTGACGCTCTGAAGAGAAGCTTCTCGTCAAAGCTCTACGACCCACGTCTACTTAGGGTGTAGGATTACTTTAGCCCTAAACCCTACATTAGCTTCCATCTTCTTGCCAACTTTCCCTTAAAGGTTAGCTTTTACCAGGTCAAGCTCCTACTGTACCCAAAATCCAAAGGCCCCTCCCCCCCCCCAAACAAGTCATCCAACATCCATGGGCATGTCAGCTACAACTACAAGAGCTCCTAGTCCTGGGCCCTAAACTTCCGGTCGAGGGTTTAGGGTTCATTGACCTAGAGGGTCCAAGTACCCAAACAATGTTGTAGCTCCCTATACAACAATTTTTACGCCTAAAACCAAGATGGGGGGGTGCACACGGAAGATGCAAATCCTAGCGGCGTAGCCTTAAGCCTTATGCCCTCACACCCCCAATCATTGAACTCCCAAGCCCACAAACTTGACCCAGAGCCCTAAACCCTAAAGCCTTGAACCCCCAAACTCTAACTCCCTAAACCCTAAACCCTACCACAAACTTGACCCAGAGCACTCTGAGGTTGTCAATGCCATGTTACAAAGCCCTTGCCGCTGTGAGGGCAAGGCCCTCTTCGTGCTCCTTGGGTTGCAGGCAGACCTTGGAACCTTCTAGGGCTTGGACGCCTATTTCTTTAGGAATTGCTTTTGATATCTATGACAGGATAAGCCTAAGAAAATCCTTAAAGAAAATAGTCTCGTTATCATAGTTTTGGGGGGGTTACAGTAGAGTCTGGTGGAGGCATTGTTGCGCAACTTCAGATACCTAAGCTGCAATCGGGGGGGGGGGTGTGAGGCTCGCGCAAGATGTCGTCCATCAACCGTATGACACGTCGAAAGTCATAGAATGGAGGCGATGACGGTCTCCGGAACCAGGTAGGAAAAGCCCAAGGTATGACCAGCCAAAATCCTATAGTCCTCTGTTTTTACCGGGAGAGAAAAGACCGGTGCATCGTAATAGACCAACCCGGGACTAGAAAATGTTACATTGAGACCGCGCCAAGCAGCCTCCACAAGAGCTACTTCTCTGGTTACGGTTTGGAACTTGCGAACTGGAAAATTAATTGGACAAGAAACTTGGAAAATGAAATGGGAAGTGGGGTTATGTAGGGGTTTTCAGAGATGGCTATGTTAAGCTTATCGTGGATGGAGGAGTTCTTGCACCACCTTGTCTACCAGGATCCTTGATGGATGGTTACCGCGTTTTGGGGATCTTGAGTGCTGCAGGCTTTCCTCCATCCATAGTACTGTAGGGTTTATACATAAGGACTACTACGGGGATCCATTCTTTCATCCGGTACTAGGTACCAAGTAGATGAAAATGCGCAGGTCCTGAGCCGAATACCCTAGCCCAATGATCCTAAAACCCTCAAGCCCTAGTTCTCAACCTTTAAATTCCAAATATTCCGATATGTTCTCACATACTGCAGCATATGTGCATAGTCCCTGTCAAACCCTTGAAAAAGGTTCTATGCGTATGGGGTCCAAGATACCTAGCCAAAATGTCACAGGTTCGGGCTTAGGGTTAAATCCACAAACCAAAGCGCTACCCAGTGACTCCTATTATGGTGTTTTGGTAAGGGATCATAATGTAGTTAGGGTTTAGGGTTTAGGGGTAGTACCCAAAAACGAAATGCATAGGACGGTCTGGGTAAGCCCTACAAATCAATTTGACGTTCACGTGATATGCTTTCGGCTCAATCCTCACAGCCCTCACGCTGCTTTAGCTCCTGAAGGCCCCTGGCAGGATTCACCAAAGAATCCTTACCTGAACCCCAAAAATGTGCAGAATAATGGCCTTTTGAACTACATTTAGGTGTTTGGGCCTATTGTCTTACCTAATTACTGTTGGGGTCCAGGTAAGGTTTAGGGCTTATTCTTATCCGCCCTTAGCGGTTTTTTGGCACCAAGGCAGTAGACTTTATTCATGGACTGAGAGCCTCATAGGGCATATGAGTAGTATTTTATTCGGGGGTACTATGGTACCCAATAAATGGTAGGATTATATCCTCCTTTTGGGGTATAGTATTGTATATACAGAACATAATCTTACTAGGTTCCACCACCAAAACAAGCACGACTCATATAAACCCTAAAACCCTAAACCCTAATCCCTAAGCCCTAAAAACCCTAAAAACCC